CGGCCAGGTCCTCACCAGTAAAGCGTTGGGGTTAGAATGGGTCCGCAACCTTGAAACCAACACCGCCACCTTAGCCTTCCTCCGCCAGGCACGCATAGACGCAACCTTCAGGTGGGAACGTTCCGGCCGGTACCACTGCCACATGACCCCTGCACTCCAAACCGCGGCCCGGCTCCTTCAAAGAAGTTTACGGTACTCAACCACAGAGGTCGGACGCAGCTTGCTTTGGCACACCCAACTGCAAAACAAATCCTGGATCCGCGACCACTGTAACAAAGCTCTAAAGCCCCATTCCTACGACACCTTCACACACGCCTTTTCTGCCACCAAAGCAGGTGATACTTGGACATTCAATCCAGAAGCCCCGCCGACCGCATGCCATGAAGCTCAGCTCCAATACTACTCACTCACGGATTGGGAAACCCACGGACTCCCTTCGACCCTTATTTAAATTGTATAAATAAAATATTAAAAGAATTTTATAAAATGAATTCTAAAATTTTAGGTTGTTTTTAATTTATTTTTAAAAAAATTAAAAATAAAATTGATAATTATCAAAATATTTATAAGATATATTTATAATTTTTTATATCTACATGGGTACGAGAATAGAGCTATCTGACCCAACCAAGGGCACTTCAGTGGTTCATGTACCGCTGGTTCCACCAGGCCTTTCGGTTCCGCACTTCAGCGGACCCCGCTCTCTACCCCTTTTGCCTAACGGTCCCGAGCACACATTCTGGCTTTGCCCACCAGCCCAACTCCCGTGGACTACGATTCTCCGCATCTGGTTCGTATCGCCTATCCACCAACACCCGTCCGATCACATGGACTGCCTTCTCCACAGTGCACAAACCCCCGTCGCCCCCTGAACTATCACTTCACCCGACTGGAAATCACATGGTATTTCCATCGAACACCTTACCTTCCAGGCCTGGAAACTGGTGCGGGCTCTAGCGCTCGGTACGTTAAGGAACGACCGCTACCGACTGGTGCCCCCGACATTTTCCTCGCTCAATCAGGCACACTTCCACGTTTTCGCATCCTACCATGCACGACGCAGACATCTCCCTGGCTCTCGTCCAGCGATGCACTATTACCTTAGCCTACCTACCACATCCACAGCACGGACAAACCCCAATGCCTAATGACGGTGTCGTCTTCTCTGATGGAGCAGCCCGCATGGATGAGGCCTGCGGGGGAGGTGGTGCCATTGCCATGCCCCGCGACGAACCCTCCCTAGCCACATACACTGCCTCCCTAGCCACATACACTGCGCACCACGTTTCCGGGTCCACCAACAACAACATCACTGAATAAGACGGTTTGATTCGCGGCCTCCAACTGGCTAAGACCATGGGCCTCTCGCACCTGGCCACCTATGGCGAGGGGTGCCAGCTTCCGTAAATTCGTCATCACAAAAAAAAGTCTCTACATTTCTGTCTATAGCTACGCGATACCCATGGATTTATGTTGCTGTAATGTAGCCAAGGCAGAGTGTGCGTCGAATACCTCGAAAACTTCGAGTGGTCATGTAGCTTCATGACATAATCTTCGAATTACAGGAACTGATAGTGTGGACAACTTGTACTTATATTAGGGCCTGTTCCAAGTAGATGTTTTTAGCAAAATGAAAAATTGGTTCCAAGTGCAGTTTCCTACTTTTTTGCGATTTTTTACGCAACTCACTATACCAAAAGTAAAAAAAGTGGTCCTTGACGTCTTTTTCTAAATCGTGAAAAAAGAAGAGGTAAATCGATTTTGATTGGTCCATGCTTTTCTGAAAACTACTTGGAACTTCCCCTTACGAATAGAGATGTGAGTTATCAATGGTTAAGATAGCTCGGAGTCTGGCAACCAGTGATTCGTTAGCCGCAGCTGCTTAAGCTAATATGCAGTCCTTTATGCAATGTACCTACAGTGTACTTTCTGAAGATGGGACTTGATTGGCCGTTGAGTGTCGTGCGGTCGTAACGTCTCGTCCTGATGCGTCGTTAGTAATGCGCCTATGGGCAGAAACCGCAATACCAACCATACCCCACGCAAACACCGTTTGCGCGCCGACACCTCCCTGGCTCTCGTCCAGCGATACACTCTTACCTTAACCCACCCACCACATCCACAGCACGGACATACATCCAAAGCACGGACATACCCCAATGCGCAAAGACGGTGTCGTCTTCTTTGATGGAGAAGCCCTCATGGATGAGGCCTGCGGGGGAGGTGGTGCCTTTGCCATGTCCCGCGACGACCCCTCCTTAGCCACATACACTGTGCACCACGTTTCCGGGTCCACCAACAACAACATCACTGAATAAGACTGTTTGATTCGCGGCCTCCAACTGGCTAAGACCATGGGCCTCTCGCACTTGACCATCTATGGCGAGGAGTGCCAGCTTCCGTAATATTCATCATCACAAAAAATATAATAGTCTCATTTCTGTCTGTAGCTACGCGATACCCATGGATTTATGTTGCTGTAATGTAGCCAATGCAGAGTGTGCGTCGAAGACCTCGAAAACTTCGAGTGGATATAGAAGTTCATGTAGCTTCATGACGTAATCTTCGAATTACTACTACCTCTGTCCAAGGATAATTGCGACTGAATATTCGGCAGCACTTTATATCTTGCTTTCAGTATATCATGTAGATTTTTGAATCTGAAAATACAATAAAAATACAAGTTGGTGGGATATCCCACGATGATGAGGGATATGATATGACACGATATGACCCGAGAATATTTTGCAGGTTAAGTACTTATCCGTGATATTTTCTACTCGTGTCATTGCCTTCACATCCACACGCCCAAGGAGGTTGCAAAGTTCACAAACACCTTGACAGTGTGAGTCAAGTGATACAGTCACTATGTCGAACCCTCAAGCCTCAACGACACAGGACTCCGACTGTTTTGTTCGGGAAAACCGTAATGGACTGCCGTTAAGCGTACCGAATTCAAGATCACTCGAGCATTCATGACGATCGAGTGATCTGGAATGTATTCCCGCTTTACTCGTGCGTTCACTATTGTCGTGGTCGGTGTGTGTCATCGCCATTTGCAAAGCCAACAGTACTACAGAAATGGGCATTCAAGATAGCAGCCCAGCCATCGCCCAGTGAGATTGCTGAGGGCCAGTTCAGGGCGATGACAGACTCGTGTCCATCGTTCTGACCTGGCGCACAGAAAACTCGTTGTCATTACCGACGCCAACAACGCTAACTACACCGCGCTTTGGACCAGTTTACTCCGCAACTGCTGCCTTTGCACAGCATTGCCATGTCAATTGCCAAAATATAGTCGTCGGAAATTATCAACTTGGGTTTTGTATTGATTTTGAAATGGCCGTCATGGAGGAGTTTGACACATACAATTCACCAACTAATTCGATGAGAATCACCTTAACTAATTTGCAGGCCAATTGGAGGTGAGGAAGTTCAGTTTTTCATCTCAGTCGCAATCATCCTTGGACAGAGGTATGGTGCACGTCATCTATAAACTACCAACTTTTCACAAAATTTTCTGACTTCTATTTCATATTCATTACTCAAAATTTCAGCAAATTGAGACGTATAATCGACAGATCTCAATGTGGTGAAGAAATTCTACGTCTCAGATTCAAATTTTGTGATGAATTGGTCCAGAAATAGATATTTAACCTAGCGGTATTTTACATGGGCGCTTGGATATTTGGCCATAGGGGTGGCCGCTCAAGTGTATCTTGATTTTTGTATGTGACTCTTATCCGTATTTAATATCCGGAGGCAGTTGGGACCTTTAACCT